CACGTCTTCTTTACTGCTCGGCCAAAAAATGCATGGATTGTGCAGACAGGCTGCGTATCCACACCGATCATTAGGTCTTATTTTCCAAGTAGGGCTTCTATTGTGCAAATGCTTAGAAATCTTGCTAGGGCTTATTTTATAGGTAGGTCTTATTTTGGGGAAAACACAGTAGGTATTGGTGGTAAACCTATTCATGTCATGATGAATAAAGATACTTTTTAAAGACAAGGTCTTACTATTTTGCTCAGGCTAAATTCAACCTCCGAGGCTCAAGTGATGCTTTAGCTTCAGCCTCGTAAGTACTTGGGACTACAGGCATGTGCCACTATGCCTGGCAGAACAGTGATTCTGTGTGATTGATATAAAGAAAAATGTATATGCAGACATAAGAAACAGCTCTTTAAATACAAATATAATTATTAGCTATTTCTGAAGGAAAAAATAGAGAATATTGGATGTCATTTTGCATGGTAAAACTAGCACAAATGTCCTATCACCTTGTAAGATTCCCTGGATCTGAATAGGAATGCCAGCCAATGGGAAGTGACTGGCCACTAGGCATTAGGAAAGGGATATTATCTCCCCCTCACAAACTAAAATTAAAATCTTGGAGACTTTCTCCCTTCTATATCATTATTTTTATATAATTTTTATTTAATTTTCAGATATTTTCATTTTTATATAATTTTCAGATATCGTTAGCTGAGATTAGTTAGATATAATTGCTTAGCATCAACACAGTTGCCTTTCAAACACCTGATCTTTGCCAACTCCCACATTAAGAGACTTCAGTTAAACCTCCTGCAATTTATCAGTTTTCATTGGATTAAAGTAACATTTCTTTCTAATAATCATAGAGCAACTAGTTTGTATCAGCCATTGAATTATGTGTACTTCCATGTCATAAAATATTGTCTCCAAACAGCACTTTCATTTATGTATCCCCCAAATATTTTTTGTTTTTTTTCAACCCCTTGGTCAATTTGCAGCCCCTAAATTTATCATTGAAATAGAACATGGAAAAAATTTAGATTAAATATATTATTTGCATTAGTGTATGAAAGGAAAAATAAAGAAAATTCATGCATAAAGATTTTTCTATACTTGAAAATGAGCCATGTCATATGGTAATACGATGATCTGAAATCTATACTTTTATAGACATTTGGAAAATGCTTCCAGCAAAATTACTTAATATTTTTATTGAATAAACATTCCACATATTATCTTTTATTAAATTACAATAAAAATATGTTAAGCAATTTAAATAGTATTCCAAAAACATTTTCAACAACCATATTGTGGAATGGTATCTATGAAAATTATTGCCAGGTGCAGTACCATATTTTCCGAAAATAAGACCTACCCATAAAATAAGCCCTAGTAGGATTTCTAAGCATTTGCACAATATGAGCCCTACTCCGAAAATAAGACCTAATGATGGGCGAGGCTACGCACTGTATCTGCACAACCAATGCATTTCCTCACGGAGCGGGAAAGAAGAGCAGCCCGTCTCATCTGCCCCATGAGAGCTCTATTGCTCGACATGAGAGATTGGGGCCAATGGTTCTAAAGGAAATAGAGTCGCAAGAAATTCAGGATGGTATTCGGGCTTTGGAGAGTTATGATGATGTTCCAGAAGAAGATGACTTAACTATATTTAAATAAAGGTAGATTGTTGTACCATAATTTAAAAAAATAACACATCCCCTGAAAATAAGTCCTAGGGTGTCTTCTAGAAGAAAAACAAATATAAAGCCCTGTCTTATTTTTAGGGAAACACAGTAGGTCATGCCTATAATCCAAGCATTTTGAAAGGTCAAGGCAGGAGGATCTTGTGAGGCCAGGCATTTGAAACCAGCCTGAGCAACATAGCAAGACCTCATCTCTATAAAAAGAATTTTAAAATTAGCTGGGTGTGGTGACAAACACCTGTAGTCCACAACTACTTAGGAGGCTGAAGCAGGGGAGCTGCTTTGAGCTTGAGAGTTCAAGACTGCAGTTAGCTATGATTGTGCCACTGCACTCCAACCTGGGCAACAGGGTGAGACCCTATCACAAATGATTGAATGAAAATTATGCGATACAAATATCAGGAGTATCAAGAGTTAACATACAGGGTTTTTTCTTTTTTTCTTTTTTGAGATAGAGTCTCGCTTTGTTCCCAGGCTAGAAGTGAGTGCCATGGCACCACCCTAGCTCACAGCAACCTCAAACTCCTGGTCTCAAGCAATCCTGCTGCCTCAGTCTCCCAATTAGCTGGGATTTCAGGCATGGGCCACGACGCCTGGCTAGTTTTTTCTATATATATTAGTTGGCCAATTAATTTCTTTCTATTTATAGTAGAGACTGGGTCTCGCTCTTGGTCAGGCTGGTTTTGAACTCCCGACCTCGAGCCATCTGCCTGCCTCGGACTCCCAGAGTGCTAGGATTACAGGCGTGAGCCAACATACAGGGTTTTATTAAGAGTATGACTCCATTTTTTGGTGTTTGACTAAAGACACCTTTTAAGCCTCTCCACTCCCTCTCCGTGTTTGGCCTTTCTGGGAAAGGTCATAATAAAGCCTATGAGTGCTCCATTCCTTGGCAGCAGGAATTCCCAAACTGGTACAGGGTACCCTCAGCCCTGCCTCATGTCATCACCACTATAACATAAGGAAGTGATATTTCCCTGCTTTCTTGAGGCATTTTTGGACCAGTTTAGGAAGTCTACTCTGCTTCTCCCAGAACATTGCAGTATGTGATCATAATCTACGTACCACTTTAACGAATAGCATCATCATTTTTGAAAAACAAACCAATTGTTAGGGAGTGGTCAATGCAGGTCCAGTGAAGTGGTCACAAGTACAAATTACCAAAAATATAATAGGGGTAAATTTATGAAGTTACTGGGTTTATGTAAAATAAAAATTCACCAAGCACCCTAAAGAGAAGTTATTTTTATCCTTATTCCTTACATATACTTTTATTTTGTAATATTTTTCATATTGTACGTTTGTATTTTTACATTGTGTAAATTAAAGCCTATACCATCTATCTTATTTGGCATGCAAGATAGGCATTTAGAATATTTTCATTTTTTGAGATAGAAGTGTCACTCTATTTCCTGGGTTAGAGAGCAGCGGTGTCATCATAGCTCACTGCAACCTCAAACATCTGGCCTCACATGATCCTCCTACCTCAGCCTCCGAAGTACCTGGAGGTACAGTCATGCTCCACCATGTTCAGCCTATTTTTGTACTTTTTGTAGATACAGGGTCTCATTATGTTGCTCAGGCTGGTCTCGAACTCCTGACCTCAAGTGATCCTCCCTTCTAGGTCTCCCAGAGTGCTAGGATTAGACGTGTAAGCCACCAGGCCCAGCTGCATTTAGATTTATAATACAATCCATGTTCAGCAATAGTAATGCAGGCTTTTAGGTCTCAGAGTACAAAACTGCACTGCTATGGGATTTTCATTATACCCACATAAGTGTCTCAAGTCAGATGGCAGAGAGGATGACTCAAGTGCAAAACATACTTATAACTTCTCAATACTGTGTTGATTCCACCACTAAAATATTGTTATAGATTCTTTACCCTTACAAGCAAATGGTACATTGTTATGTCAAATATGAAGTATCCTACTGAGGTGAAATAAAATTATGCTGGAAGAACAAACATGATAATAGTTATAAAAAAGAATGTTATTCATACATAAAACCTATGATATAGTTTGAATAAAACAATAGGAAATAATGCCAGCAGTTAAATGTGATTCCTGATCAAGTATATGCTATTTTGGTTGTTCTGATTCAATTTTCCTGTCTGATACATGTTCTCTTTTCAGTTTGAAGGGTAACAGTATTTTTCGTCAATCTTGATATCTAATAGCTATTTCTATTGAATGGAGAAGGTGCTACCATTTTCCCTGCACAATTTCTACTATTTAATCAGTCCCAGCTAACATAGTAGTTTCCTCCCATAAAAATTCTAGTCTCCTATGGTATTGGATACTGTATTTTATCATAGCATTCCTTTCCTATTTACCACAGTGGTGTTCAGCATGGAAAACGGTACCTTGAATGCAACGAGCATGACTGATAATAAGTTTACATTATTCTTAGCCCCTTCCAAATCCTAATTTTAATATTTAATTTCACATGGTAGTATCCTTGATCTCCAGGTATGTGAACAGAAATCAGCCTCACCTAAAAAAACAGGCTCTTTCCTCTAGAGGATGATTAAATGAGTATAAGAAAGGAATAATATTAATAAAAACAGATTCCAAACTTCAGTTTGAAAGTCAAAAATAAAGTAGCCTTTCCAAAAAACTTGCAATAATGGAATAAAATATTTTCTAACCTGACAATAATTGCACATTTAATGTCCTTTTACTTTTGATATATGACATGACTTTTAACATAATTTTGACTTGTAATTATTATGCAGTATATATCAAAGGTTAATCATGGAGAATTTGAGACTTCTTTACTCTATGAACTCTCCAATGTGGAGTGTATTATGAGAATTGACGAAATAATCTACAATATCATTAAATTTTCAAGTGTTCATTTGAGAATAAAATTCTTTAATGAATCCTAAGGATGCACCTTAGTGAACTAGAGGTTCACTACATTTGCCTTGTTTTTATCAAGTATGAACCTTTTGTGACAAAAACTCTTGAATGTTGGACTAAAAGGCTCCATACATTCACTATATTTGTGGAGTTCCTCTCCAGGAAGAACACTCTGGTGTTTGACATCATGTTTGTTTGTTTGTTCTTTTATTTTCGACAGATTCTCACTTTGTTGCCTCGGCTACAGTGCTGTGGCATCAGCCTAGCTCACAGCAACCTCCAACTCCTGGGCTCAAGCAATTCTTCTGCCTCAGCCTCCCAAGTAGCTGGGACTACAGGCATGCACCACCATGCCCAGCTAATTTTTTGTATATTTTTTTTTAGGTGGTAAATTAAATTTCTATTGTTAGCAGAGACAGGGTCTCACTCTTGCTGAGGCTGGTTTTAAACTCCTGATCTCTAGCTATCTGCCGGCCTTGGCCTCCCAGAGTGCTAGGATTAGAGGTGTGAGCCACCAGGACTGGCTGACATCATCAGTTTTGATGTTTCAATAAATGCCTAATCATGCACCTTAGCTTTGTATGGTTTCACCAAAGATTTATTTTTTGATGCCTACTGAGTTTGAAGCCATGAAAATATCTGTCACATACATTATAATTACATGAAAGGGAATTATGAATTCCCTGTTCTGATCATGCTTGAACTCATAACAAAGTTTTGAAACTCTCATCGTATTTCTAAGTTTTCTCTCAGGTACGAATTCTGATGATGTGTAAGGTGTTAATTGTGGCAGAAGACCTTCCCACGTTTGAACGGCTTCTCTCCTGTATGAGTTATCTGATGTGCCTAAGGAGTGAAAGTACACTAAGAGATTGGCATTTGTTAGGTTTGTCTCAAGCAAGAATTGTTTGGAGAATACTGATGTCCAAATTCTACCCTGAAGCTCGTCACATTCAATACATTTGTAAGGCTGTTCTCCACTATGCATTAACTGGCAGTTATTATGCCTTAAGTAATGACTAAAGGCTTTGCTGCATTCATCACACTTTAAATTTTACTTTTACTGTGAATTATCTAATGTCTTTCAAGGCTTTAATGGTGACATAATACCTTCCCATGTTAATTACATTCATTACATTCATTACATTGTCACATTAATAAAATTTCTCCACAGGATGAAATCTCTTGATGATGTGCAACATACGAATTCCCACTTGCCACACTGATTTCATGATACTTAAAAGGTTTCTCCAGTATGGATTCTATGATGGTTAGTAAGGCTTGAACGCACACTAAAGGTTTTGCCACACTCGTTACACTTGTAAGGTTTCTCTCCAGTGTGAACTCTCCGATGATGTGCCAAGGAGGAGTTTAGACTGAAGACCTTTCCACACTCATGACATTTGTAAGGTTTCTCTCCAGTATGAATTCTGCAATGATATACAAGATATGAATTTTGACTGAAGACTTTGCCACATTCATTACATTTGTAAGGTTTCTCTCCAGTATGGATTCTTTGATGATTTACAAGGTGTGAATTTTGAGTGAACACCTTGCCACATTCATTACATTTATAAGGTTTCTCTCCAGTATGAATTATTAGATGTTGCACAAGGTATGAATTGCGACTGAATACCTTGCCACATTCATTACATTTATAAGGTTTCTCTCCAGTATGAATTCTCCAATGATTTGCTAGGGATGACTTATGACTGAACACCTTCAAACATTCATTACATTTGTAAGGTTTCTCTCCAGTATGAATTCTCCGATGTTGTGCAAGGTGTGAAATATGATTAAAGACCTTGCCACATTCATTACATTTGTAAGGTTTCTCTCCTGTGTGGATTATCAGATGTTGTACTAGGTATGAATTTCGACTGAACACCTTACCACATTCATTACATTTGTAAGGTTTCTCTCCAGTATGAATTGTCTGATGTTGTGCAAGGTGTGAAATCTGATGGAATACCTTTCCACATTCATTACATTTGTAAGGTTTTTCACCAGTGTGAATTCTCCGATGTTGTGCAAGGTGTGAAATTTGACTGAAGACCTTTCCACATTCATTACATTTGTAAGGTTTCTCTCCAGTGTGTACTCTCCGATGTTGTGCAAGATGTGAAATATTATTGAAGACCTTGCCACATTCTTTACACTTGTAAGGTTTCTCTCCAGTATGTATTCTCTGATGACTTGCAAGGTATGATTTTTTATTAAAGACCTTAGTACATATATTACATTCAAATCGTTTCTCTTCTGCATGGATTATTTGATGTACAGTGACATGTAAGCCTTGATTAAAGGTCTTGCCAAACTCATTAACTTTGAAATGTTCTGTCTCTATGTGTGCTTTCTGTTTCTGTGTAAATAATGAATCCATAAAATCATTCATATCTTCATGACATATGTGAGGTTTGATAGTAGAAGGAATTCTATCCGGTGGAGAAACCAAGGAATTGTTGACATAGTTCTGCATATGATTCCATTCATAAATTTCCTCTTCAGCCTTAAATAGCTGCAGTTCTGATAGATGTGAGTGAAAGTTTAATCCAAGCTCATTTTTAAAAAACATATTTCCTACATTCCTTCTATCATGCTGATCTCTTCTACCACTGAGATTTTCCTCATGGGTATTATGCATTCTTTGGTAATGTGTTTCAGCGACTTGCCACTGATACTGAAAGTTTCGTATATTTTTCTGGATTTTCCTAAACCAAAAATCTTCCATGTCATGGCTTTCATTCCTTTCCAACATCCCTGTTAGGGATATTTCTCCTGTATTACTGTTTTCTTTAGGTGGGAATTCACTTATCATACATATAGGAGAGATACCTATAAGATATAAAGAACCAAAGGTTTATAATGAATTGCAGATGGTTATTAAATACCTTCTATTGAAATACATAACCTAACACCAAGAGTAATGCAGGTATAATAAGCAGAGTTATAAAACCTCCAATTGTGATATGCAAGTTTTAGGAAAATGAGGTATTTTTAAAACACAGAAAAGATGGTTACACATTATTTAAAATAATTGCAGGGAACCCTATTATGAAACAATCTATCACCAGAACAGACCATACAAACCTATACTGACCCTCGAAGGAGGAGGATTGTTCCACCATTAAGCCAAAGCACACAGCAATGAGATGAAAGCACATGGCTAACCAATAATGAAAGAGAATTATGTACTTATACTAGGAAAATATATTAACTAGGGTCGGAGAATACACTGTTTGGAACAAATTAAAAAATAAAATCCTATGTGACATAATCCAGGCAACCATGGCCTGAATAATTTTATTGGCCAAAATTCACCTGCTGAAGTTCTAGTCACAATCTTGCAGTCTTTACATTCACCATGAAATATTTTTAGCCATTGACCAGCACTAACTTGTTAGAAGAACCTTGAGATAAATTATCTCTTTTCAAATAAAAACAGGAGGTCTACAACATTTATGTATCTAACCCCAATTTCCACATTAAGTGAGAAAAAGAAGACTTGATCCTGGGACTGCATGCTGACTCATGTTCTTAGGAACAACTGCTGATCCAAGCAGTACCAAAAACAATAGGTCATAGGAAACAGAGGAGCACAGGAAGGATAATTTCAAGGGAGACACAAGATCTAAGCTGTGTTGCTAATAGAGTTACTCATCCTTCATTGATAATGGTATGTCAGTCATCACTCAGGGCACCAGTGAAAATAGTCACTAAGGGGTACCCTGGGTGATGACTGCACAAACGTCCTGGAGAAGTTTTCCAATAGGGAACAACTGTCTTTACTTGCACAGTGACAGCAGTGTGGCTGGTAAGGGGGCCTTGTGGAAATTGGAGTGGTCACAAATACAAAAATTAATATGCTAAACAGTGATTGGATATTCCAAGCTACATGAGGAAAGGCCAAAGATGGAGAAAAGGCAAGAGTGGAAGGAAAGAAGCAATGGAGTGAAGATGTTTGTGTGCATTGGGACGCTTCCTTGGCTGACTGTGCTGAGGTGGGTTTGAGGAAAGAAAGATAGCAGGAGGATGTTGTCAAGTCCTGCCTTGGATCACATTACTGAAATTGGGAGAAAAGACAACCTTGTGAACTATAATATTAAACATATTTTCATATGGGCACGCAGGAGCAGACATTATGTTTGCAAATCTACAGAAATAGAAATATACCATGTCAGTTAAAATTCTGACGTTTGTAGAAAAGAGAAGCTGATGTAACCAACCAATACATAACTATCCCATTCTTAACTGTGAGAATAAACAGATTTAATGGAAACTCAGTTTGATGATGTGGAAAGAAATTAGGTATACATGTCTTATGTTATTTCATATGAAATACAATTTATCAAATTCAATGGCCTCTGAATTCTATTTCTAGGCGTGTAATCTACATACAGATTCTAGAAGATCAGGTGTTCTCAGTTGTCAATGGAAAAAAGCCAAACTCTGCAAAATAATTTTAAAGAGATTTTTCTGAGCCAAATTTGAGGACCATGACCCAGAGCCACTGCCACAGGCCTTCGGCAAGTGGACTCATTGTGGCTGGGTTACAGTTTGGTTTTTATACATTTTAGAGACAAGGGTTACAGGTAAAGCCATCTATAAGTATGTGGGAGGCATACACTGGTTTGGCCTTAAAAGGTGAGCCATCTGAAAGCGGCAGAGGGGGGCCTTACAGGTTATAGGTTGAAAGATTCTTTGGATTGTAATTGGCTAAAAATATGAAGCTTTGTCTAAAGGCCTGGAATGTTTTAACATAAACTGTTTACCAGAGATAAGCCACCATTTGTTGCATAAACTGAGGACCTGCAAGTTTGTCTTGCATACCCTTAGGCCTGTTAAAGGTTTACAAAGAAAGTCTCCAAGAAAGGAGGGGGGCATGATAAGGCATGTCTGACCTCTCTCCTTCTGGCAGGCCATTTTGCTTTAGCATATTCCTTTGGCCACAAGGGGTCCATTCAGTCAGCTGGTGGGGAAGAGTGAGCATTCTAGTATACAATTCTCCCCTTTGGGCCAAGATCTGTCATAGGCAGCATCTATGGCCAAATTTTATTTTGTCCCATTCGTTGCCAGGGTCGTGTGGCTACCTGCCCTGGGTCCATCTAGTCCCTCAGTGGGATCCTTGTGGCCAAGAGGACTGAAGAGCCAAACTGGGGCTTACAGCCAATTCAATAAGCCAAAAAGGACCGGAGGTAGACAGGCACTCATTAATACTCTAAAATCCTTTAGATGACATAAGAGTAAAATGCAAAATATCAAAGGCAAAGCTGCAAAACTAATTTACCTACAAGTATTGAGATACTATATTCTTGGGTTTAGTGGAAGACTTGTAGCAAACATAAGCATCATTAACATTTAAGCTAAGGGAATTTAGTGATTTATACTAAGGTGTCTGATAAATTACTCATTATATTTTCTTTTGTATAATTTATAACTGATAAAAAATTACACTCAGTAAGTTTTAAGTCTATAAGAAGCAGGGAAAAAAAAAACTTTTACGATTGGGAGTGATATCTGCAGCATGTGGCTTAAAAAGACAAAGTATTTAATTTAGTATTCCTTTAGGCTTTTGTGTGTCCCTCCTTCATCTGGAGGGTCTAAACTAATTCCATCCCTCAGAATTGGCCCTTATAATCAGACACGCCCCCTTTTTCATATTCCCTGGGCTTAGATGGAGGATATTTGAAAAGGGCTTTGGCAGATGCCATGGTTTTAAGGTCCCAGAGATCAGGTAAACTTGCTAATTACCTAAAATTTGTCAGGACTCTGGAAAACAAAACAAAAGAATTAATAACGTTTTAAATAAAGAGTCTTTATATGAAAATTTAGTTATGTCTCATGAGGTTTGAGTTAGCTATACTCATGGTTGTATCAGATTTTTAATTAAACTTGAAGTATTAGAACTCTGTTTTGTTTTAGTCCAGTGGTATATATAATCTCCAGAATTATTACAAACCAGTATTTAACTGGATTTGTCAGTCCTTTCTATGGCCTTACTTGAAGAAGCCAATTTTGGGCTTAGCCAGAAAGAACCACTTTCTGAGATGAATCAAAGTAAAATAATAACTTAGAAGATGATAAAACTTGACCTGCCATGGTTAGAGACAGTTGACAAACCAAATTGGTTATTTTGTGACATATAACAATTTACATAATAACCATAATTATTACTGATAACACATACCAAGACATGTCAATATTTTACAATACTAGAATATATATTAATAAATACTTATACAACTACAGCCCAAAGAAAGTTAAATACCATTTTATATTTGACAATGTTTTCTGGATGATTTTGACATATCAAATAAATCTAATGTCTGCCTTAGACTTTTAAATGATCCTCACGTATAAAAAGCTAGTTTAAGGTAAAAATGCTGGATTTAGAATTTAAGTTTGGGTAAGGTTTTTTTTTTTTTTTGAGACAGAGTCTCACTTTGTTGCCCAGGCTAGAGTGAGTGCCGTGGCATCAGCCTAGCTCACAGCAACCTCAGACTCCTGGGCTCAAGGGATCCTACTGCCTCAGCCTCCCAAGTAGCTGGGACTACAGGCATGCACTACTATGCCCGGCTAATTTTTCTATATATATTAGTTGGCCAATTAATTTCTTTCTATTTATAGTAGAGATGGGGTCTCGCTCTTGCTCAGGCTGGTTTCGAACTCCTGACCTCGAGCTATCCGCGTGCCTCGGCCTCCCAGAGTGCTAGGATTACAGGCGTGAGCCACTGCACTGGGCCTAAAGGTTATTAAATATCAAAGGCTCAAAGCATTTGTTCATATATAATCACAAACCACTATAACAATAATTTAACCAAGAGAGATAGCCATGAAAGAGATTTTAAAGGTGATAAAGTTATATGGTTATAAACCTAAATCCTTTTAAACTTTAGTTTTTTTTTTTTTTTAGTTAGTCAAAACCTAATAAAGAGAATACAGGGATTATCTGACAAAGCATAAAATCCTTGTTTCTTTTAGGCCAATTACCAAAATTAAACAAAAACCTTTTGTACCACATTACTTTTTATATTAAAAGGAAAAGAAAAAAAACATGTTATAGAATCAAAATGAGTACATCATATCATTTTATTAAGAGTAAATATTGACAGAAATCTTTGTTTTAGCCAAAATTTTTTAATAAATTTTCTTTTATAAACTTTATCCCAACCTGCACGTACCACACACCATCTATAAAACATACCTTGAAACTTTTGGTTGTGTCCTATCATTCCCTTTTCCTAAATAACCAGTCATTTTAGGACAAAAATTTTATGCAAGATCCTTTTTTTACATTATTCTTTTTGTTTAACCTTTTGTACCAAAAATATATTTCTATATTTATTGCCCCTTTACATCTTTTTTGTTATACAAGTGAAATTTTCTTTTTATTTTCTTTCTAAATTTATTTTGATTTAACACTTAAATAACCTCTGAATTAGACAAAGTAATAAGTAAACTAAGCAGGTAAAATAAGTAAAATAAGTAGGCATACAGAGACAGATATTGCATCTTCTCACTCACATATGGGAGATAAGAAAATGGAGGTACAGAGTAGAACGGTGGTTAAAAGGCTGTGAGAAAGCAAGGGGTACACAGAGATGTCGGCCAAGGGGTACAAAAATACAGTTTTCTTCTAACATCTTTCTAAGAAGGAATGAGTTCTTGTAATTGATAGTGAACTAGGGAAATTGTTTATAATTAACAATAACTTATACTATATGTCAAATTAGCTAGAAGAGAAGAACTGTAATGCTTAGAACACAAAGAAAAGAAAAATGTTTGAGCTGATAAATATCCCCTCCCCCCAAAATGAGAAAAGGAATATAACAAGT